TGATGTCGAGATGGGCCTGCGGCTGGACACGACTCGACAGTCAGAAACGAGGACGTCAGGGCGGTCACACAGACGGCTCCGATCCAGCTGAAGGCACGAGAGCAGCGACTGCGATGGTATGGGCACGTACTGAGGAGGCCTGAAGACCACCCAATAAGGAAGGCATTGGAACTCGAGGTAGAGGGCAAGCGACCACGAGGAGCCCCAAAGAAAAGATGGAGGGACGTCATCAAGAGGGACCTCACTGAAGTGAAAGCCACAGCAGAAGATGCAGTGGATCGGAACAAGTGGCGACGTCTAACAAGAACAGCGGACCCTGCGACGGCGCGGGACTAACGCTAGGGAGAAGAAGAAGACCAAGTTCTCTTGATGTGGAAGGTACAAAAGTCGGATGTGTCCTACTGGCAGTAGCGCTCTTCAACAGGGAGCTCCCATGCGGTGTACGTCTTCAAGGTCTGAATTCCCATCTCTTAATCACTTGAACCCAACTAAACTCCTAAGAGACATTGTTCATTGGCCGTACACGTCACAACTGTGCAGTTCCGCGAAGGGGGCATTTTGCAGTACTGCTACTTCCCATCAATGTGTCGACCCATCTAGAGAGCCTTTTCTTGAGTTGACAGGTTTTACCATGATGGCTCGACGAGCTTGCTCCAGCTTCACAAGAGTTCACAGGTTTCACCAGAGTGAGACTTGTGAAACCGGAACTAGGGAAGCAGTGAAAGTGCAAAATGCTCTCCCCCCTCCCCCCACCCCGAACTGCGCCCAACACAACTTTCAAGTCGCATCTGCCCTCTGAAAATCTGGATTGAGTGCGAGAAGGCTAAAACTGTGATTTGTGTCCACCCCACACCCCATTTTGATGGGCTACTAACAGGACTTGGTAAACAAGAACGAGTAGGAAAGCAAGCAAACTACAGTCTAAAACCCACTTAAAAAAACTTTTCACCTTCTACACAAAAATTTATGTAAGAAAAAAGAAACGCTTTAACTTATGGGCCAAGCCCAGCACGTACCGATATTGCAATCTATGACGCTGATGAATATCAGAAATGGCCAAGCATTGCCAGAATTTTACAGACTTTTTGTTTCAGAAGTATAATGTTGCTACTTGAACACTGTAGCGCGTCATTCCCAAAAGTAAGCCACTCAATCAGGAGTCTTTTTTTTCGCTGTCTTTTTGCTCCCCCCACCATTTGTCCCTCGTCTCTCGCTCGAACATACACTGTCCCGCTTTTCCAACGCTCGTCCAATCTTGAAACAACTTGAGAGGGCGTCAAGTCGTAGGCATTCTCAATGGTTTTTTCAGCTTTTTCTCCACTGATAATTCAAAATTTAATTCTGACAATTCTGATAATTCAAACAATAGTTCATATGCGAGCCAGTACACTAGGCTAGCAATCGCTGACCACGTACAGGATAATCAAACGCCAGCGCCTTTCATTTAGTCTCTCTGTTTACGCAATGGTCTGGAAAATTGTGGTAGAAATGTAGCGCGTGAAATATGTAAAATGGAACGTTAGAGTACATGATGCCCGATTAGTGGTTGCGTGTGACGTGTATTGTAGCGCAGCCAGGGCGCCTTTGTTCCAACAGTGATGCTCTACCGAGCCCGCTACAACTGGTTGGAAATCTGCGCTGGCTACGCTACAGCCATGCCCCCGCCTTACGCCCTATCAGTTGCAGGAATTGCACCTGAGTGGCGCAGTCGGTAAGCACACTTTTTGTAGAGCGCACGTGTGTCCGAGTTCCCTCGAAGGCTGAGCCAGCTTCTTTTCGTTACTTAGCATCCTTGAGATGACATTGACGACTTCTCTGGCAGTCCCTTGTCCTTCTCTCAATTCCTCTGTTCTATCCAATCCCTCCGAATGTTTTTGTTTACTTCGAAATTGAATATCCTCAAAACTGCACGGCTGAGAGGATGGGGCGGTTCAAATTGCTGATCATAGCCTCAAGACAAATAGTATGCGACCAAGCCTTTTCTTTTCCAAGGTTTCTTGGTAGTTCAGACTTTTCTTCCGTAGAAAGTTCAGAGAATCAGTAATTCTCTCCGGGGTATAATCTCAAGCTGTTACCATATTTACCTTTTATTGGCGCTCTATAAGACATTCCCAACCTCCTATCCTGGCAGGCTAGCCTATTCTCCCCTTGCTGCAACCTGGCTGTATAGAAATGTTTCGCCTTTCAGCCGTTCCTACGTTCATTTTTATCACCTTTATATAAAACTCCCTCATCCTCAAAATAAGTGCCCTTTCAGCTGTAATTCTTCTTCTTCGCTATGCCCTATTGCTACTGCACCTTTTGCCAGGTAAATGGAGCCCGTTTACGACCCACCTCGCAAACAACTGGTGCTGGTCACAGTGTAACTCGTATTCGTAAGAAAGCCGACCATTCTGTATCTTTATTATGTTACTACACTCACATTCCAATTTTCTTGGGAATTCGCACTTCAAGAAAAGCTCTTTCTGCACGTACCTGCGAAAAACGGGCACCGATCAAACGAGCGCTAGACTAATGCCCGCTTTGAAAATTACAGGTTAGTGACGCGAGCAGAAAAACGTCAGAGGTTTTGGAGTCCTCAGTCACTCTCCTGAGCTTGCCTGGTCAAGTTGATGCGACTGATCCATATCCCGATGTTACTTTTCTGGAGCGTTTAATCATAGCATCCGTCACAAGCATAGGACATTCGTTTCTGCTCGTATATGATGGTTCCATCTGTGATGGAAGGCGAATCACCGTCTGAGCACGAGATCTCATAATCCACCCCCCCCACTCCGTTGCTTCTGCGACGATGATGAAATTTTCTTCGAAACCAGCTGAATCAGTTACTCAACGGTCGTCTCACCTAGTGGAAAACTGCTAGCAGCCGGAGCCTCGTGAATCAGCAGTCAGCACATTCACAAGGTTTCATAGAAATCCCGACAGAGAAGTCGCTATCTTTTTCATCCTCCAACATTCTGTTCTTGAAACAGTTAATTCTCATTCACTTTTCGGTCTTTTTTTCTTTTGAATCTTATGATAAGAGTCTAGGCCTCTTCTGCTTGAAATCATCGAACGGATAAAAGGATAGATGATCAAGTTTTTGCCGTTGACCAATCCTTTTGCAGGATGTGGCACGCATTCTCGGATGCGGTTTATTCCTCTTTAGTGCATTTTGTTCCTCTTCGTCTGAAGAAAATTAAGCGTTTGCGCTACCCTAGACACATTCTAATCTGATTTCTCAGAAAACCCGCCTTTTCAGTAACTTGGACGATGGTGTCCCAAACCAACAATATAGAAACATCTGCGTAAAAATAGACTATCATTTAAAGAGGTTCCTAGCAATCTCAGGA